GCCTGTGGAAGCCATCGAAAGTTATTTATCGGCAGGTTTGTCGTTCATGGCATTGCAGTTCTTTATGGAGTTGGCGAAAGAACAGTTTAATCAGCTCTTCTCATCCTGGGCTAGATTGCGAAACCTGAACGTGAAAAACACGCCCCCTCATTATCATATGAACGAAGAAATACAGAAATAAATAAATGAATTAATGAAAAAAAAATAAATTAATTAATTAATGAAAAAATAAATGAATACATGAAATCAATGAATAAAGGGAACAATTGTTAAAAATATGGATATGGAAAAAATATATAAAAATGGCATTAATAAAACAATAAATAATATAGAAATAAATGAATTGAGAAATATATAACTGCAGAAAAAGGAAATGTGTATAATTACAATCACTATAAGCAATATATACTTTATTTAGTTTTTTTTTTTAAATGATTAATTTACTGAGCCATTTATTTTTTAATTTCATTTATTTTTCAATTTGGCAAATCTGGTCCTCCATAAATTAGAGCTTTAAACATGATAAGTGCAATATGTCCACTTTAGAGTGGACTTTTCTCTGATCCATTCAGAAACACTAAACAGAGCTAATGCCCTACCCACAAGCTAATGTCAGCCCTGAGCTAACACACTAGCCACAAGCTAACATAAGTCGATGCATATTTATTACTAGCCACGAAATAACATGATTTCACATTCTTACACCCCAAAAGACAGATTACTGTCTGACATTACTGAAGACATTACTTCGAATGAGACCATAGGGTTACAGCAACAACACAAATGACTACACAAATGTGAGATTACTGAATGCAACCGAATATTCATACACAAGATGAGGCAGCCCTTAATGAGATTTTTCAAAATGCATACATGAATATTATACATGTATGTACTGTTGCTACTAAGATTGTAGTAGAATAACTGCAAAATGTAAAATCACCCATCAGCTTCATTGGCTTTGGGTTAGTTTCCAGACCTAGCCTAGACAAAAACATGTTTCAAAAAGAGAGTCACTATTGGTAATGAGATTTATTTCAAACCCAGACTTAATCCATATCCAGATATCCATGAAAATGGTCCTTGGTCGTATAAACTAGCCACAGAACCTCCCAAAAGAGTGCAACACTATACAAAGATATGCCTAATGGTAACGTAATGGAGGCCAGACTTAAAGAAAGCATCCCATAAAAGCTTGTGTTGATGCAGACAGCGTCATCCGAGGCCAAGGCTGAAACAAATGAACAATAAATCGGCTGCAAGTTGAGATGGACCTCTCCACTGTCTCTGTCTCTCTCTGTGGAATTCAGGCTGTGCAAACAGTGCAGTCTTCAACATTTCAACCTGAGGCAACCTGAACTATGCCCACCAGCTATTTCCAGTCAATGTGCCAAGCAATTTCCTGAACATGAGAGAGAGAACATTTTAGTGATATATTAAATACATGATAAGCATTATATGTCTGATATAATGCCTATAACATAGCAGTTCCCTCTTGCCAAGCAGTCTGTTTTCAACTTTTAATTCTGTTTTACAAACTTTAGTCCTGTCTTCAAGATCTGACAGTTAACTGCAGTGTATGTAACCTAATTAACTGGGTGCTTCAGACTGTTTTGAAAGAATAGCTGAAAATCCACAGAAATCTAACAAATGGCAGGCTTACTTTCTGGAAATGTGCCTTCTGTCTGGTTAACATTTTGTAACACATAACAACAAAGGCAAAACAAATTATGTCAGGTTTGAAAGATATTATTTTAGCACACTATTATTGTAGCAAAATCGTTTATTTAGGCAAATGTTGTCTGATACAGTAAAGGAAAATATCATGATACTGAATTTTATCAAGATCAACCATCACTTGTACAAGTTAACATATTAAGAGTAAAAAGAGTAAAAATGTGTATGCCTACGATTTGCACACACCTTTTCCTTTAATTATTATTGTTATAAGAAGTAATGATGTGCATGGTGGAGGTGACAATACATTGCGGAGAATGGATGTTCTGGTAATTATGCCATGTAATATAACTACATGTATGCCATGTAATGTAACTACACAAAAGTCTGTAAATGACAAGCACCAATCAACAACACTCCAGCCCTCCTCTTGACTCCCAGCTTTAGTGATGACAGAAAGTTGCGCAATAACAATTATAGTGATCATTTTCTACTATCACAATCTTGCTCAAAATATTGTGAGAATAGTGAATTGCAAACCTAGTATTGTGAATGGAATTGTTGAGTATCATTGCACCCTATTAGTAATTAAACATTCCTTTCATTGCAACTAATGCAAATTAAATGAAATGAGAGAGAGAGAGAGAGAGAGAGAGAGAGAGAGAGAGAGAGAGAGAGAGAGAGAGAGAGATAGAGAGAGAGATACACACACTTGCTTCCTATATCTGCAACAGATCACACAGGAAATCACCATAAACATACCAACACAGCATTATAAACTCATATGTGGAATAAAAAATGGGAAGTATTTTCACAACACTAGCAGTCAGGGTCGAGTGCATTTGCACAGTGAGCAGTCACAAATAAAAGCATTTGCACACATTTACAGAACTGTAATTGCTTGTTAACAACGCCTCTGCATGTCCCCTAAACTCTATGAAGGTCTGTTCGCTGTAAGAGTTGTTATTGTGGGGTTTCTGTTACTTTGTTTGCAGTTACACCCCCACATATCTCGAAGACATGACTTTGAGTTATCAGCTCCAACCGCATCGTTCACGTCTTGAAGACAAAACAGCGCAGAGGAACAGCCATGAAAAGTGAAACCAAAACAAAGCCAAAGCCTAGACTGATACAGTACATCGACAAAAGCAGACCACTGTTTTCTACACTGACTACCCTAGCGTTTGTCAGTCTCTACTCTTCTCCTCTTCTCAAGATCCTTTTGGTGTAAAATATAACAGAAATAAGTACTAAAGTTTGAAAATCAGAGGCATGAAGCAGCACCGAAGCAGCAGAGCATAAAGCTACTTTATTTAGAACATAAAATTGAACACAACTGTTTTACGTGAATTGCTGAAATTAAAGTGCAGTGAAGTAGAAGTGAACTAGTGTGGTTTTAGCAAACTTAGGACAAAAAATTCCATGTTCCAATGCTCTTGGAGTGAGAACATAATGAATGAATAACCATAAGGGTGTTGGTAATTGTTTTCACTGGCCAGGCATCATCGATGTGGGCATTCTCAATTTGAAATCGGTCTGATTCCACAAAGCACATGACCAACAAATAGAATTAAAAATTTGAGGAGACAATCAAAGAAGCGCTTAGAGTTCTCATGTCATGGCCAAAGTTATCAATGTATTAAAGCCTGCATATTTCATAACATGCCTTATTATGAATGTATATAGATACCAACATTGGGCTACTAGTGTTAGTCTGCGTTACTGATGTAAAAAGTGAAGCCAATGAAATGAAACAAATGCAGATCATTTTTAGGCCTATAGGCTTTAAATTAATAAGCTATTTGTGTGGAATCATGTGACATATATACCTAATTCTAACATTTTATTACTTTAAGCAAAATGGCACCTAAACCAAACAGTCAGAGAAGACGGTATAAAGTCAGGAAAGGGAGGAAAATCAGTGGACAGAGGATAAAATGACAGGAGAGAGGACAGAATGAAAGATTTAGAGCTCAGACTGAGTCAGTAAGGGTGGCCTCAGATGAAGTTTCTCGCCAGAGCACAGAACGTGCTGAAGTTCATCCTACCAGGGAACTTTTCAAAAATATAAAGCCAACAATGATTATAATTCATTCAGATATCATTATTGTCATTGCTTTGTTGCTCTACACAGGATCTTGCTGTGCTCCCAGTAGGTTCTGGAAAGTAAGTTTAAAGTACTGTCCCACTTTACCTTAAAAAGCTGAAGAGGAAAACACCGCCAGGGTCTATGATATCCAAACAAAAACAATAGTCACTACAGTATTAACACATTTACATCTCAGAGGCTTGAGACAACTCACAAAACACAGAAGACATGAGAATATTGTATATATCGCAGCCTCCTGGTGCATTTACCGAAATGTCCTAATGCTGATTTCACCCTAAAAGTATTATCATTCAAAAGTATAAGTATGTAACTAAGTAAACACTACTAGTTACTACCCACTTCTGTGCTCACAGCGAACTCAAAATAAACTGGACTTCAGACTTCTGAGGTTTATCACCTTATTCTGGATCGAAGGGAGATCAAATTAAAGAAGAGAGCCAAACAGATTCTGTTCCTATGTTGATAGATGCTGTTTGTACTGGATGCAAACTCGACTGCAGTTCCATAGGGAGTCTGAAGCAGCAAACAAGGCTCAAGTTGGCTTCTTATTCGGATTTTCCGTTCCACCTTAAATGGCGCAGCCGTACCATTCTAGCTAGCTACCTCACAACCATACATTCATGATACTGATGCGCCATTTAAGGTGGAACGGAAAATTCGAATTAGGAGCCGGTGAATTCAGTCTGAGCCGACGCGGCTAATGTTTACTACTGCGAGTGTTAAAGTACGGAAGTGGCTTTCTAAAACTACAGACACCTGCTGAGAGAGAGGCGGACGATCCTCGCTTTGTTAACCGTCCCTACAGCTCCGTAACCAGGATCGTAGAGCAAACACACGCACACACATACACACACACTGTCACGGCGGTTAATGCTGATTCAGGCAGAACACTGACCACTGTCTGACACGTTTCTCCAGTTAGACAGGATTAATGAAAACAGAAGCAAAAGACAAGAGCTGATACGCTGAGGAAACCAAAAGCTGCCAAAGCAGTTATTCTGTAAACAAGTTCAAGCGTCCAAGCGGCTGTACTTCCATTGACATTTCCAGCTCAGATATTACTCAATTTCAACGTCAACGACTAACAGGCTCAACCTCAGTGTTAATTTACTAACCTCACTCTGAACGACACACTTAAGAAAGCTGCAGGTTTCACTTCACCACAGCGCAGCAACACAGAGTGGACTTTACATGGACGGATCAGCAAACTTACGGTTCGGCTCCCAACGTTCTGTGACGGCTGCAAAACCAGCTTACTACGTTCCAACGTAACGTTACAGCTCGCGAGCTGCTTTTTTTTTTTTTGAGTTCCACGCGGGTCGCGCGCTCTGCCCTCTTACATGCGCTAGAGGGGGGAGTGTAACTCAGAAGTGAGAGCTGCGCATGCGCGCGACCGGCGGAGTCGTTTCGATCATTCGCGCTAGAGACGAGAGTCACTGAATTCATTGAAACACACCATTCGAAAGAATCGGTTCGGTAAACTGAATCATCATTAAATCTTAAACCAGTGGATACTTAAAGAAATGGTTACCAAAAAAATTACAATATTAACAATAATAATAATAATAATAATAAAATTTTGTAAATGTGATTATTTTATTATTATTATCTTACTCCAAACGTAGTCAAGACATTTTGGTGTCCTAAGTTTTACAGCGGATCTATGAGAATAGCAAAATAGAAATAAGGCTAGGCAACATTACAATATTTATCGTCATTGTGATAAATTATGTCACATTATGCCACAGGATGTCACAATACGCTTCTCTGAGTATATTGTGGATATCGTCCGTACCTAAAACACACTGACCAACTGCACGTTTGATTTCACGTTCAATTTGTTTAATTTGAACATAATTAAGTAGTTTAACTGGATTTGTGCAGCACAGCATGTCAATGTTAAATACAAATCACTGGATTTGTAGGTTTAGTCATATTTTTTAAATGTGGCACTACTTTGTCTACTCTAGTGTCACCCAAAGGATACTTCTTTGCTAAATTAGATGTAGCTCCAATGCCAATCTAAAGAAGCAAACCTTTGGTGTTATGTCATGGTCATGGTCAATCGTCTACATTTTTGAAGCAAGTTGAAAATTGTGTACATACGTTTTTTATGAAACTTTCCTTTAATTGATACTTTCAAACTGACCTTTTTCACAAATTTTTTGTTTGATTCATATTCACAAGCTTAATGCTCGTGTTTGGGTGTGAAATTAAGTTAACGGCGATGTAAACCTTTTAAGGTAGTTAAACAACAACCTTCTTTAAGAAATTACCCAAAATTATAACGTACAATATTTAAAATTTTGTTTTATTGTTACAGTGTGGTGCGTCAAGGTTAAAGTTTGAAAGATTTCTATTACAAGTCTTGGACTTGTGAATCAGTTAGACCAATTTACTGAATCGGTTTAAAAAACATTCATTCACTCACCAATCAGTACATCTCTTAACAAAGACAAGCCAAATTCTTCTCCGTTTTACAGTGGACTGTTTAATTACGTTATGATGTAACATTTTCAACGACTCTTGATATGATTTTAGCATAACAACGTGGATACAAGAGCATAAATGCTAAAGAAAGTTCGATTCAATTGGACTTGTGAATCGGTCCGAATAATAGTAAATCGATTCGGAAGAATGATTTGTTCACGAGTTGGTTCATCGTTACTAACTAACGTAAACGCTACCGGTGAAGAAGACTCTCTGGGAACCGCGCAGCCAAACACAGCCATTTTCTGCATTTTGCCACATTATAGCTACACAAAATGACCTTTAGATAAACGAAAAGTTTTAATTCACCCCATGAACAAAAACGATGCACATTTCCAACCCACAGGCGCATTCCCACCCCCCTCCTCTCCTCTCCTCTCTCTCTCTCTCTCTCTCTCTCTCTCTCTCAGAGCGAGCTGCTGTCTGATAAATTATTCAAGTAGCCCACGGCTCCTGCAGCAGCGTTACCACAACCGAAGGATGTTTTGTGGGGAGACCCATCCAAACACCACAGCCGAGTTAAACCAGCGCCTCAACTGTAATTCCTTTGCCCGTTTTGTTGTCTCAACATGCGGCTCCGTCCGTCCCAGAGACCTCACCTCATCTCTGGGGGTGAACTGTCAAACAGCCCGCAGCCGCTGGAACGAAGCTGAAGTCGGGGCTTCCTGTTCGCCAGCTTCTTCTTCGAATTTCCCCGTCCCACCTTATATGGTGCTGCAGTTAAGTGCACTATTTAAGGTGGAAAGGGAAAATTCGAACAAGCAGTTGGCGAATAGGAGGCTACTTTCAGCTTCGTGCCACCGGAGTTGTTTGCAGCGAACGGCGGCGTAAAGCGGGCTGAGGAAGAGATTAATTAAACCCTGCTCGTCGTCGGCGGCAGCAAAAATCATCCACCACATCATCCTTGCGTCGATTCCGTTACCGTCGCCGTGCTGAAAAGAGGATAAAGGGAGAGTCATTACCTCGACCGAGCTGCTTCTGTCCTCTGGGCTGTCGATAAGCCGCCGTTATATTCCTCCAAGTCAGAGACTCTTTCCCTCTCACTGTTTCTCCAACTGCCTCAAGTATTTAGAGCACGGCTTTGTTCACGTGACCGCGAGCGCCCTCTCTCATTGGTCGAGTCGGGTCCGGTAGAAACGTGCACCTGTGTTAAAGAGCTCCACTGGTGCAGCAGGAATCGGGGGGCTTGGGTGATGTGTAAAGGGGGTTGGTGTAGTTGTGTGATGTGTAACCGTGTTAGTGTAAAATAAGTTTGCGCGATGTGTAATTGGATATATGATGTTTCTTTAGTGAGGATGAGTAATGGGGGAGTCGTGTAGTTGCATGGGTGGGTCTATGGGGTGGCCCTGGTGGCACTTACCATCTCATTTCTGCAGACCCTAAAATTAGTGGTGTGCACTGGTACTCAAATACTCGGTTAACCATTCGAGGTGCCAGTTTTTCAATACTGAAATCACTTTTTGGGAATTCCTGAGGTTTCATCGCAAAAAGACAGATAAAATGTACCGGCTAACAATATGGAAATACAGAATTTATCCCTACTGAAAAAAGGGCCATTAGAAATCATTACTGGTTTTGCATTCTAACAGAAATTGTCTCAATGGTTTCCAACAGAGACCACTCATTTCCTGTAGAATACCTTCAGATCCCATTGGGATACCATTGAATGCATTTAGAACCCACCATTGGTCACCTGTTAAACCATCAGGATCCTTTGCACTGTGATATCAACCTAGTAAATCCTTGCATCCAGTATTGTAGCATTTAGTGCTAGCTCATTAGCTCCTCTGAAGAGGCGGCCTTGTTTACTCATCCAACACGAAAGGCTAATGAAAAAAAAGGCTGTTTTTGAATAATAAAACATTTTCTAATTTCAACCTCCAGTTCTATCGTCTGAAAAGTAAAATAGTATAAAGCCTACAGCCTTGTGTTAATTTTGGCCAAAGTCTGGTTGAGGTTATCCCTACATAGCTCTTACAGATACTTGAATATCAGAATTAGTCACAACATACATCTCTACCTGAAATATGATGCAAAGATATTGTGCACACAATGAGTCTATACCCTCAAAACACAAAACTCAACAAGGATATTGTGTAAAAAAAAAACCCTAAAAGTATTATTTACATTGTGCTATTCATTCACACAATGATCCAATCAGTCAGTGTAGTTTCCCCCCTGAAAAAAAGTGACCAATTAATGTATAATGTACCACGAACATTGGCACATGAGGTATTTCACTGGTTCGCTACTCTCCTGTCCTGGAGTCCACCTGCACTGCAGGGATTAGTACTTAGCCCTGCTGTAACACACCCAGTAACTCAATTAGAGCTTATTAATGACCTGATTAGCTGAAGCAGGTGTGTTGGAGCAGAGAAAGCACTAAGATAGTACCTGAAATCACATCTACTCTGAACAGTGTGCAAGAAAGGTGTGTCTGAAATCATAATGTTCGTCAAATAGCAGGTTAAAAATACCCACAATGCATTACAATGTGCAGTCAAAATTGGAAAAATCTGAACACTGGACTTTGGCTTTTGAGGCAGTCTGTCAAAGTTTAGTTGAGGACAGAGCATATAGTACTGTGCAAATGTCAGAGACCCCCTTCATTTATTTAATTTCCAGTCAACATGGCCATTAACTACAAACTGGGAAAAAATGGAAAACATAATCAGAAACCTCAACAGCTGACTATAATAAGTTCACCAGACAAATAATGAATCACTTGTGACTGAAACGTTCCTAACAGTGTGGAGTACCTCCACGAGCACATATAACAGCTGCGATTCAATTTGGCAATTTGGCAAGTTTCTGGATGTGGTCGACATCAATGTTCAGACACACTTGCGTCAAAGAATTGTGCAGCTCAGCCGGATTTCATGAATGCCTTCCCTGGCAACTTACTCATTGTTCCAGGTAGTCCTACAAACTTTTATTTTCAATTTTTGTGCCTCTTCACCCACTGTAACTAGGCAACTTTGTGAGCAGAAGTGAGCAAAAGCCTCTTGCATTCCACTCTGCTCCATATGTTCATGGTATGCAGTTCCTTGTGGAGTGTTCTTTCAGAAATTGGTTGTGAAGGACCTGCATTGACTTATAGAAGCAATTCTTGCCGGGAAGGGAAGCGTTTTTTTCACAAGCCATGAAACACACTGGTGGTCCCTGTCCATCATTTTCGTCTTTAAGCCACAATTCTGATGAGAATTTTTCATATACTGGGATTTTTTGCAATTGCTGGTAGACCCATATGACCGTACACTTCCATATACCTGCAAATTCAGCTACTTCCTTCACACTATGGCCTTTGGCACATCCAAATGCAATCACTCCTTTTTGCCAATCATTAACATCTGCTTTGAGACCCATTTTCCACACATTGAACGAGACACTCACTGCACCGTACCACCTTTTCTCAATCTATGAATCCCGTCGCACACCCCACAGGTATTTATAACCCGATCATCCTCACACAACATCATCTTCAGGCGCAACTAATTTTTTGTCCGAAGAGCTTATCAATTTCTTCAGTATTTATTGTGTTTTCTCTTTAGCTTCCATTCTTTTCAGAAGGCTCACTTTCAGTTTTTCACAGAAATCTGCAGGGATATTGTTCCACACTTCGAAAGCCTAAGGTTTTCTGCTTCTCACAATGCAAGTAATGTCAAACACATTCAGTGATGTTGAGGTCTGGACTCTGTGGTTGTCAGTCCATTGTTCAGCTTCTTTGTTTGTTGTGTCTCCTTTTCTCAGTGAGGCTTCTTGATAAGGCTCTTGGCTACACATCCTTTCAGACCCATGGCGCTCAGTTGTCTTCCTACAGTGGAAGGATGGACAAAAACACCAGTGTA